TTTTTCAAAACTTGTTAGAGTTTGGGAGGATTTTCCTACAGTGCGTAGTGCTCACCCCCTATCAATAATGTTTTTTTTTTAGATTTCGTGCTAGAGGAAGATCTCGACGTTGACGAGCCGGAAAATTTGGAGGTTCCACCAGAGGAGAACCTAGATCCCGAGGTGGACATCTAGAGCTATAGTTTATTTTTGTGCTAGACTAAGAAATTTATTTGCAATCATGTATAGTCTAGTATTTTGTTTATTCCGCTACTAAGTTTGAGTGTAAATCTTTTGGAATGTAAGTGTCATAGCTTGACCTATTCTTTTAGGATGATATGGTGGATATTACATGTGGTGAATGAAATTTTATTATTTGATGGGTAAATGGACCCAGGGTGGTCAATATTTATTCATATATGGACCCGGTGTGGTCAATGTAGTATAATTGCACAGGTTGTGTTTTGAGTAGAGCTCCCCGTACAAAAGAGACTCTGCCCGAATTTTGTTGGTGTTCGTGGCAAAATGGCAGCAGCGGTGATGGTAGTGGTGATGATGATGGTAGGGTGGTGGGTGTCGTGGCGACGACGACGACAGTGGTAGTGGTGATTATGGCAGGGTGGTGGTGGTGGGTTAGTTGTGGTGGTGGTAGTGGTGATGATGGTGGGGTAGTTGTGGTGAGGTGGTTTCAAATGAGGCGATTTTAAACACTATTTTTTTTAAAGTACCTATGAGAAGTTATTAGTTCTAAAAATACTTTTAAAAAGTCAACCACAAACACACTCTTAGGGGCTTATTTTTTCTATTAAATTTGGAGTTTTAATATTAACCATCGGATTAACTTTAAAGTAAATTTTAAAAAATCTTAGCCGTTAAAAACAAAAGTCATTCTGTTTATCTTTTGAGATTTGAAATGTATTGTACTTTATTATATAGACTAGTTATTGCCTGTACCTAAAAGCATAGAATAATAAAAAAATGGTCAACAAAAAGTATATTTGTATTCCATCTAATATCAAATTACAAATATAGAGGAGAGATAAATGAATTTATGTATCAGTTGTAGTGGGAGTGAGAGGTGGTGGTAGGAGAGGTTGATGGTTGTGATAGGTGACAATAACCGTGGTGGTGGTGGTGGCCGTGGATGGCAACAGTGATGATAGTAGTGGTAGCCATGAATGACGGCGGTGATGATGGTTGGTGTGAGTGTGGGTGGTGGTGGGCGACGGTAATGGTTGTTGTCAGTCGTGGTGGTGGGGCGACGACGATGGTGGGTTGTGGTAGTGGGCAATGACAATAGTGGTGATGGGCGACGACGGATGCTTCTGAGCGACAGTATGATGGGTGGTAGGGAATGACGAAGGTGATAGGTGTGGTAGGGGTGAGTGACAGTGGGTGACGGCAGTGGTGGGCAGTGAAGGGTGGTGGTGGTAGGTGTGGTGGGGGTGGGTGATGGTGGTTGTTGACGACGGGTGGTGGTGGGTGGCGACGATAGTCGTGAGATGATGGTGTTAGTGGTAATAAATATAAGAATGAAATGACGATAGTGGTGGGTGGTGGTGACGATAGTAGTGGTAGTGGTGATGGCCATGGGGCACTAGGGGTAGTGGTGGTAAGGGTGATGGTGGGACGACAACGGTGGTGGTAGGGTGGCGGCAATGGTTATGGTGGTGACATAGTAGTAGGGATGATGGTGGTGGGACGGTGGGGGTGAGGGTGGTGGTGGTGGTGGAGTGACAATAGTAGGGATGAAGGTGACGGGGAGGTGACGGTGGTGGTGGTGGTGGGGTGGAGATAATGGTGGTGGTGGGACAGTGGTTGTTGTTGTGGCAGAGGTGGTGGTGGTGGTGGTGGGGGTGAGACGGTTCCAAATACTATTTTTTTTATTTAAAGTAGTTATAAGAAGTTATAAGTCCTTCAAATACTTTTAAAAAATCATCTCAAACACACCCTTACGGGCCTATTTTCCTATTAAATTTGGGATGTTAATATTAGCCGTCAGATTAATTTTAAAATAAAATTTAAAGAGATCTTAATTGCGAAAAGTAAAAGTCATTTTATTTATCTTTTGAGATTTAAATTATATTATACTTTATTATATAAATGTGCCAGTAATTTTGGAAAAACATATCTAGGAGTCCATCAGGTCCAGAAACTTTAAGTCCAAAAGTAGTAGCTTTGATTTCCTCTAGATCAGGTGCCCTTACCAAACCCATATTCATATTCTCAGTGACAGCTGTTGAGAAATTCTATAGTGTTCTATTATAATCCCTTACAGCCTCTGATGAAAACAGGCTAGTAAACGTTGTTGTACAACACTGTAAATCTGCTCTTGCTCATTAACCCCTTCATCTTCTGCTACCTTCATACCTTCAGCATGACCAACCTATTTCTTTGTCTCCTTTGAATTGTAGTAGCATGAAAGAACTGTGTACTTATCCTCCCATTGTAACCACTTAAGTCTTGATCTCAGCCCCCAATACTTCTCTTCCTTTCTCCAAAGATTTTCACTTTCCTTTTCAGTACTTTTCTGCTTGAGAGAAAACTTACTTTGGTACATTTTGAATGTCTACCAGCATTCTTTTGAGGCTTTCTATTTGTTTCTTATTGTTCTTGAAATGCTTAGTACTCCACTGAGCCAAATCTCTACTGCATTTTTCAAGTTTCTTTTTCCAGCTTAAACTGCCTTGATCCTACAATTTGCAGATTCCAACTATGCTTTAATACCTCTTCATTTGCGCAATATGCCTCAAACCTAAAATAATTTCTAGGCTTTATATTTTCAGGCTCCATANGGTGGTGGTGGTGGTGGTGGGGGTGAGACGGTTCCAAATACTATTTTTTTTATTTAAAGTAGTTATAAGAAGTTATAAGTCCTTCAAATACTTTTAAAAAATCATCTCAAACACACCCTTACGGGCCTATTTTCCTATTAAATTTGGGATGTTAATATTAGCCGTCAGATTAATTTTAAAATAAAATTTAAAGAGATCTTAATTGCGAAAAGTAAAAGTCATTTTATTTATCTTTTGAGATTTAAATTATATTATACTTTATTATATAAATGTGCCAGTAATTTTGGAAAAACATATCTAGGAGTCCATCAGGTCCAGAAACTTTAAGTCCAAAAGTAGTAGCTTTGATTTCCTCTAGATCAGGTGCCCTTACCAAACCCATATTCATATTCTCAGTGACAGCTGTTGAGAAATTCTATAGTGTTCTATTATAATCCCTTACAGCCTCTGATGAAAACAGGCTAGTAAACGTTGTTGTACAACACTGTAAATCTGCTCTTGCTCATTAACCCCTTCATCTTCTGCTACCTTCATACCTTCAGCATGACCAACCTATTTCTTTGTCTCCTTTGAATTGTAGTAGCATGAAAGAACTGTTTACTTATCCTCCCATTGTAACCACTTAAGTCTTGATCTCAGCCCCCAATACTTCTCTTCCTTTCTCCAAAGATTTTCACTTTCCTTTTCAGTACTTTTCTGCTTGAGAGAAAACTTACTTTGGTACATTTTGAATGTCTACCAGCATTCTTTTGAGGCTTTCTATTTGTTTCTTATTGTTCTTGAAATGCTTAGTACTCCACTGAGCCAAATCTCTACTGCATTTTTCAAGTTTCTTTTTCCAGCTTAAACTGCCTTGATCCTACAATTTGCAGATTCCAACTATGCTTTAATACCTCTTCATTTGCGCAATATGCCTCAAACCTAAAATAATTTCTAGGCTTTATATTTTCAGGCTCCATATCTACCTCCAAAGGGGAGTGGTCTGATCCTATGGCTGGTGGTACAATCACAACGGCATTTTGAAAATTCAACCTCCAACATGTGCTTGCTAGTGCTCTATCTAGCCTTTCTCTGACATTAGCATTTCCCTGTTATTATTTCATGTAAACTTGCCCCCTTTGGTTTCCAAATCCACAAGACTACATTGATCAGTCATTGCTCTGAAGTTCTTGATCTTTCTATCTGCTCTCTCCTTCAAGCCATCTTTCTCTGATGGTGCTACAATATCATTGAAGTCCCCTACAAGAAGCCAAGGGATATCAATGTTTCTTCTAGTTTAATTTAGATTGAAATTCTTAGTATTATGCTTTCATTCAATATCGCTTAATAATATTTTATCCACAATAAATTTAAATAGTATTCAAGGATCTCTCACCTTTATTGTGTGAGTGATCAACTATTAAATGAAAACTGAATAAAATCATAATGGAGATAATTTGAATCGGTTTATTTGTATTAAGCATGGGAGGTGATTTATTATTGTATTAAGCATGACATCAATTTCATAAAAAGAAAAAGAAAAATATCATTAGATCCTATCTTTTAAGGATTGTTTGTGTGACAAGTTTAGAATATCGAGTTTAATATGATATCAAAAAGTGAGATGGNAGATTTATTATTGTATTAAGCATAATATCAATTTCATAAAAAGAAAAAGAAAAATATCATTAGATCCTATCTTTTAAGGATTGNTGATTTATTATTGTATTAAGCATGACATCAATTTCATAAAAAGAAAAAGAAAAATATCATTAGATCCTATCTTTTAAGGATTGTTTGTGTGACAAGTTTAGAATATCGAGTTTAATATGATATCAAAAAGTGAGATGGGGCCTCCCCGTGCCTCAACGTCAAGCAATGTCCCTCAAATACGTAAATAAAGTTACAACGCACACGCTGAATCACCATATACGAAAGGCTCTAAAACAAGCTGAGTAACGCACCTCTCTCTCTCTCTCTCTCTCTCCTCTCTTTTTTGAAGAATTGAATCGAAGCAACAATAAATACTGAATCACTTAGGTGGGCAGAGAGAGAGAGGTCTTAGAGAGAAATGGTGACGGTGAGCCACGATAAAGAGAACAAGGCAGGGATGNCGTCAAGCAATGTCCCTCAAATACGTAAATAAAGTTACAACGCACACGCTGAATCACCGTATACGAAAGGCTCTAAAACAAGCTGAGTAACGCACCTCTCTCTCTCTCTCTCTCTCTCACTCCTCTCTTTTTTGAAGAATTGAATCGAAGCAACAATAAATACTGAATCACTTAGGTGGGCAGAGAGAGAAAGGTCTTAGAGAGAAATGGTGACGGTGAGCCACGATAAAGAGAACAAGGCAGGGATGTTCTTCATGGCCACTCTGGTTATGTGGGGTGTTTCTGTTTTCTTCGAAATATTATTCAATAAACGGATTGAGCTGGTATCAATTCTAGCTGGGTTTTGTTTCTATCAATTTTCCAACTGGGTCATCCGGAATTGGGTATCTCGTGACCCACTCTTCGTCAACACTTGTGTCTCCTTGCTCCATTCCTCTATTACCTCTACTTCAGGTTCCAAAATTGATGTTCTCTCGCTTTCTATACATATGTATTTGCATATATCTCCTGCGTGGTCATTAGTTTTTAGCTTTTCCTGAATTGGGTACCTTTTTATTTTTATTTTTTTGTTTCTTGAATAACTTTGAATATTTCTGCTGTTTTTGTTTTCTTAGGTTGATACTTGTTCAATCAGTTATTAATTGCCCTTTTTCTCTTTCCCTAATGTCATGTGGATTTGAGAATGTTATTCTGTTGTTTATTGGTGGTTTGCTAATGTTATGTATCTACCCAAGGATAAACGTTTTTTTTCCCTATTTTATACATAGGCTTTTATGTTGACAGTGACGGATGTATTGCATAAAAAGGGAAAGGCTAGGGTTGGTTTTGAGGTGCTTAATCGGAAAGTAGTCTTTGTAGTGATGTAGTGTGGACGAAATGTGCAAAGTGGGAAAGACAGGGATATAAACGCAAATTACATCAAGATTGTTTAGTTCAAAGCCCATATCACAACGCATTTCCGATTACTAAATTCTTTTATATCAATGGAAAGTGTAAGGAATTTATGTAATATTGGGTTTTAAGACATTAATCTAGGAACTTTCAATCCCCATGATAGTTCTGTTGCTGCTGCTACCATTTCTGAACTCACTTTCTTATTTAGTTTCGATAGACTGTGTGTGGTAGCTCTTGGCTGTGGTGGCTTATGTTGAGACTGTTGCTCAGTTCCATTTCTCTAGAATCCCTCGATGATTCTTCACTCTTTTATTTCTTTTAGTTCAGTACTTAGTCCACTGTGAACATCCCCATCTTTTTGAAAATGCTAAAATCAGCCTTAAATCAACAAGGCCCATATCTCTTCAGTGTTTACTAGTCTGTCATTCAAGTGGTCGTGCTATTCTTCATTGCATAATGCCACACAAAGTGCAGAGTTATAGTTAAACTACTTGCAATCATACAGAAGCTCCTCATTCACTTTTCTCAGCCAGAAGATTTTAAAGGAGCTTCTCTGATAGTAAAGTGGGCTTTTCCAATCTTGGAAGTGGATGGGAAGCCTTATGGGATGATTTCCATGATACTTTTTAAGTTACTGGTGGTTTGGTGTGATTGTGCCACTATGGATTGCCGGGACATGAGGAAAATTTATGTGGAGATACAGAAACGAAAGCCCTAAAGATGAAGTTCAATTTATTGCGAGAAAGGGCTCTAATAGCACAAGTGAGAAGCAGGGCAAAGCCAAGAATATCTATGAGAGGGGGCAAAATATAGCTAATACAAAAAAAAATCTAGTCGAAATTGATACAAAAAAACTAGTTCAAGAATGACAAAAAAGTAAGAATCAAGACAAAATTATTGTGAAATAGTATATTTAATTTTTATTTAGCTGAAACAAAATCCTAACAAAAAGATACAAAATAATTTTTTTAGTACATTTTAACCTAATTATATATTTCAATAAAATATAAAAAATTTTAAAATCTCTAAAATTTTGTATATGAATTAAATGTAAATTAATTTTTCACTAATTTTTTATCAATGCGCACAATCACAATTTCGTAGTAAAATTATTTTTTTATTTAGTTGTAAAATTTAGTTGAGATCATTATCGATCTTAAAGAGAATTTCCATATTCGAAATGGCTTAAAATATTTTTGGGTTACAACTTTTTGTCTTGTGTATACAATCGTATTTTATTAGGTTATAGACTACTATTACTAAAAAAATGGTAAATGAAAACTAAAAATTATTCTTAAAAAGTAACGAATATTGTTAGATAAAGATAAATATTGTTTTTTCGTCAATATACAAATAGATCAGGATAGTTACATCTGATTGACTCAATTCAAAACTAACATATTTATTTTAGAAAACTAGTGGACCACTAATTTATTGAAAAAAAAAGGACTAAAACCATTATTGAAATTTTCAAAAATTTAAGGGGCAAATATAATATATAAAATAATTTTATGGGTCATCATATAAGGTGATCCAAAAGTGAGAGGGGCAAGTGCCCACCTTGGTCCCCATGTGGCTCCGCCCATGGTGAGAAGTAAGAGCGATGGGAGCCCCCATTTTTGTAGTGAAAGCTAGTAACACTTGAGACATGATGAAATAATAACATAAACATAGATATGAAAGGGTTGAGCACTTGAGTGTAGTACAACCATAGTTATTAATATCGTACAATATACAATATGTTTCTTATGATACATCATGATACGCAAGAAAAATAACACGTATCGTTTTTGCACTGCGTTGTATGATACAAGAGACCATCTAGTACAATAGAGACCGTCTAGTACGATACAAGATACGATACGATAATCGTCTTATACGCGTAGATAGTTTTTTTTTTTGGTTTTTGGCACTGAAATGATGTCGTTTCATGTGGAATGTTATTTTTTTTAGCCCTAGCCAATGAAACGACACCATTTCACCAACTAGGGCTTAAAAGAATAGAGCCCTTCTTCAATTCTTCTAATCGAAGAAGACCATAAACAGCTGGCCCCTCTAGATCTGTGAAGCAACAGAAGCCCCTTTCTAATCCATCTTAAAGTAAAAGCCCATTCGAAGTTTGAATTAGGGGTATTTGCATTTCGATATTATTGAAATATATTGAAAACTTGAACAGTTGGTGGAATATTAAAATGCTATATTATGAGTTTATGACTTTTTTTCCAAAGGTATATATGTTTTATTAATAATTTTTTTAGAATTATGCATATTTTACGATATATGATACACTATTTTTGAAAAACGATACGCCTTAGGATACATGATTTGACAACCATGAGTGCAACTTAAGAAACATGTTGTTTGCTTAAGACTGCTTTGAGTTTTTTTGTGCGGAATTGTTTTGAGAGTTAAGTTCAAAACAGACTAAGAGTGATTTGAAGTGAATGATTTACATCCGGATAAAAGGAAGAGAACAGTAGATGCATTGGAATCTGCATTTCTTCCCAGGTTCAATGGATGGAGGAATCACATATGCTCCTGGGATTGCATTTGGAAGTAGTGTTTGTCCTCTGTTATTTTGTTCCACATGTTTTATAATCAGGTTTATAATGTTCAAGAGGTTCCTGCTACTTGAGGCTTGTGAAGTATCAAATGTACGCAGTCTTATTCTCGCGTGATTGTCAATCAAAGGGATGTGTGGGGTGTGTACTTGTTGGGGGGAGGGAAGGCGAGGAAGGTTGTGTCGAGATTATATAATATCGTATTATACCAAAATGTTAATCTTCTCTTTTCAAGTCTTTATCAGCAAACTATTTTAACTGGTGTTGTGGTTCTGTCTATCCCTTTTAGGCGTCATGTTCACAACGCGATGCTTGAACAACTTCAGCATGTCATTCAATATTGTAAATCTAAACTTCTTCAGACTCTATAATAGCAGGAACTTCTTGCACTGGACTCTCATTTATTTGTCATATTGTACTTGCAGTAGTAAATAGTTTAAAACTTGTGACAGCTTTAAGACATTGATGTGTTATTTCCATATTTCTTTTCCTTTCTTATTTCTTTGTCCCTTTTATCTTGTTATCCTTACTAACTTGGTCTAATTGATGTGCAGTGGTATTCATTTTGGTGAATCAGGGGATGACAAATGGTATAAATGAGATGTTTGAGCACTCGCAGTTGGTTGAGGCTACTTGGCCATGGGCATACCAAGCTTTGTGCTTTTCATCTGGTTACTTTGCATATGATCAATTGGATATGTTGCTTTATGGATTATACAGTGGTTGGGTCCCTTCCATCCTAGTGCATCATCTAATACTGCTTGTTTGCTTTACTCTTGCACTATACCGAAAAGTCACAATCAACTACCTTATTCTCACTCTCATTTGTGAGGTATGTGCCAGTGTCTCTCCTGTAGTTAATTCCCATGTCTCTGTGATTGTTTTTTCTTCTAACCATCCTTTTTGTTGTTTTTTATAAGGGTGCTGGTGTGTCTGGTTTACACATAAAACGTCAGTTGATAAAAACAACAAAAAGGATGGTTAGAAGGAAGAACAATCACAGAGACATGGGAATTAACTTTCTTAACACTTTACTTTCTTAACACTCCCTCTGAGGTAGAATAGGGATGTTTATCAAAGCCAGCATCTTACATGCATTTGAAGTTTGAGGCTTTAGCGAAGACATCTTGTATCAAAATTGACAACCAACCTCAATATACTTTGTCAGCTCTTGAAGCACTAGGTTGGAGACTACTAATATTTAGAAACATCAAGTAATGTTGTCCACTGTGCTGGATTTTTAACAATATTACTAGTTCTTACACAAGATAATCTTGTAGGCTAGTTTGAGTTGAAAACCAAAAGTTCCAATTTTGATGACATCAACCAGAGCAACTTGAACACCCCACGTGTCATTCACTGGTATCTAATCTCTGCATTGGACATGAAACACTTTTGTGATGAGAACTATTCCATATCGGAATTACGTAGACCGAAGGTTAGCTTACATGCTTGAGGGGCTAGTCCACTCATTACTTATTGGTTTGGGGTTGGATGCTCTAATATGGTATTAGAGTTGGGTTTGGATGGTTGGTGGGACCCTTCTCTCACCCAGTTGAATTCCATGGTTTGTTTAGTTTCAGTTCTGGTCCAATTAATTTTTTTGTTTCACTTCGGTTTGTCAGTCTACATGCGAGTTGGAATGACATATGAGGGAGGGTGTGAAGAGAGCCATCCATTTCATAAAAATAAAATAGACCTAAGGTTGGTTTACATACTTGAAAGACCACTCAACTTATTGTCAATTGGTTTTGAGTTACATACTCTAACAAAATTTTAAGTAGATTTGTGATAGGTTGCTAAAGTAGTTCAATCAGCATATGAGACTCTAGTTTCATGTAATCATGCCTTGAAAACGACATACCTCTGCTAGGAGTTGACTTACAACTGTTGGATAATTCTGTGGACTGCCTGGTGTAAACTAAAATCACCTGAAACGGCTTACCACCAGGGTTCAAGGTAGCATTATTGGTCATTATATTAGAGGGCTCTAAGAAGACTTGAGCACAGCGCTATTGTTAGAACAGCTTTCGTCGAGTCTCTGCACCTATCCTTTTGATTTTCGCTTTGTTTTCGGAAAATAGGATTTGGCTCAAGATTGCCCATTGTTATTAATTCCAGGGTTTCTCTAAATTTGAAAGTTATCACTTAATAGGTTCTCATTTAAGAAGCACGGATACTCGGCAGGAGGTCAACGTGACTGTGTCCGACACGGGTCCGCAAGGATACGCATAGGACACAGAAGGACACGTGTTCGACAGTTCTAAAGGTGTCCTGAACAGTAACCAGAGATTTTTTGATGCCGAACACGGCTCGGATACATAAGAATATAGGGGGATACGGGGATAAGGGGCTGAAAATAATGGGAAAAAAAGAAAAAAAAAAAAAGGGAGCTTTTGACAATTTGTCAAATCTACTTTGACCGAGAGTAGAGAAGAAGAGGCAAAGGGACATACCGGATCTGCTTAGATAATCTACCTTCAACGATCAGCCTTCAAGGATTTGCATCAACGATTTGCCTTCAAGGATATGCTTCAATGATCGGATTTGTCGCCTTCTTCTTCCTCTCTCCTCCTGCTTCAACCCTAGGACTCTTTTTCTTTTTTTTTTCTTCTCTCTCTCTCTGTCTCTAGTCTCGATTGAACAGAGATGATACTAGCATAAAAAAAAAAAGAACAGACACGTTATTTTTTTTATATATATTTTTTTTTTTGGTATAATTCATTTATTAGTTGTCACCCACGGTTCGCCACATTCAAATTAGTCCATTGTCCAATTCTAACATATTGGTCGACTATCCAATTTAATATTAGCCTATTGTTCAATTATAAAATATTAACCAACTACTCAACGATTTTTAGGTCTTATTATTAATGTGATTTATATAAAAAATATATAATATTATTTTAATTAGTCATATCCTTGCCGTATCCGTGTCCTACATTTTGGAACTTTGTCGTATTCCCATGTCCGTATCTTATCGGATACGACACCCGTGTCCGTATACGTGCTTCCTAGATTTCCATACTAAGGCTCAATCCAATTAAGTGCGTAGAACTGAATCCTTTGTAGAACTGAATTCTTCTTTCTGGATATTCTAGTAAACAGTGCTTTAAAGCATAAGCCCTAAACTCCAATAATGATGAATATGAAGGAAGCCCCACTGATATTTGATTATCATGTATTTATCATGCCATTTAGTATTTAGAGCCTGTTATCGGACTTAAACTTGGTGTTGGACCATGTAATTTCAGCTATTTTATCAAAACCCTTGAATTTCATATTATTGAAAACCGAAAAGTTCAAGCTTGTTCCTGGAGAAAATTTTGTTTCAATGGATATAATCTTTTAATTGATGCCTCTGGTTGAGATTGAGACATGCTGCATCATGAAGTCCCTTCTGCAGTGCCATAAAAAGGCCTATATGATTATTTCGGTAATGAAGCCTTGTGATATGAGATGAAGGTAGATGCACTGCAGCCAAATGAAAATGACCAACTGCTAGAGCAACCAAGAATGAATGTAGGCTAGAGGAACCAAGAATGAACCTCCCCATGTCTATAGCTCCCAAGCCTGGCTGACGGTGGGCCTTTGAGCCTGTGGGTACAAGTCCCACAGGATTTTCTTGTGAAGCAACTAGGGATAAGTTTCCGCATAATGAGTTCAAAGAAAGATGTTGTTAGGGAAATTTTTTTAGTTAAATTAATTGTTATGATCTGACCCATGGCTTAGGCTGTCGCACCAGCTGCTTGACTACTGGATTTTGTTTTCATAACAACCAAATTTAATTTTCCTCCCCCACCCAAAAAAAATTTAAAAAGAAGCATATTGTCTGCATAATATGCACTAATTGTTGAAATTGAAAACCAGGATATCGGTATACTCTTGCCACTATTCGACCCTAAAACTTAACTCTTGTGATTCACAGCTGCATTCAATCTTTCTGCATGTGAGAAAAGTGCGACGGATGGCTGGTGTTCGTGATGCCAGGAGCAAAATTGTGAAGGCGGAATGGGTTCTTAATTGGGTGACCTTTGTTTTAGCTAGGTTCACTTCTCATATTCTCATCATGATCAAGCTTATCCAAGATGCTTCCAAGTTCGGGAAGGGTGTAGAGCTCCCACTTGCTCTGTTTGGAATGGCAGGAATGAACTTGCTTAATGCTTTTCTTGGCATTGATCTTTTTCGTGCTTATAGAAGAGAGAAAAATCCTCAGAAAAATCATCATAATCATCACCAATGACAGCCAGGTTCTGAAATCGTTCCTCTTGCTTTTCAGAATTTTGTTGCTTGTTCCTTGATTTTAGACAGTCAGCCATGAATGTATTTCCAATGCAAAAGGAATCAAATATGTAACATATGTTTGTTGCATATACAAGAAAAATATAGTTGTTTTATATTATTTTAGAATACTGAACAGAAAACAAAACCTTGTAACATGAATTCTGTTCGTGGCCTAATGGAAGAGATTTTTTTCGCCCCATAGGATTAGTATAATCTGGTGACCTTTCATTTTGTTTAGTGCCTGGGTGGGCTGATTTAGAACTATTCTAATGATTACAATGAGATTATGGGACCTTACGGTGTGTTTCTATTATGATGTCTTGTAGTTTGTTCTAATTCACACTTAGATTCGATGGAAAATCCTTTGGATTTTAACTGGAATTTGGGTAACCCAGTTTTAGAATATAATACACTTAGGAGACTATCTTATTTAATATGTGTTTCTTTCGTGGGTGTAGGCTTCCAAGTCAGACCCTTCCTGTCCTTTCCTGATTGTAAGACTGGGGAACAAGATAAGCAAGTCCACTCAAACAAACATCGGCTACAAGAACAAGGAAACCCTATCTTTTCTAATCCGCTTGCTGTCTCAGTTCGGCTATAAGTCTTTTGTTTTGAGTGTTGTGTACTAAAACGATACAAAGCCCGGCCTTCGATCGAAAGCTGCTAAAGAGAATCAGCCACATAGAATATAGAAAAAGAATTGGATAGAGCCTGCTTTAGTACATTGCTTACGGCTTTGGAGACATTATATATTGGGTGGAAAGTTTGAAATCCACACAGATAATGTTGCAATGAGCTACACATTCTTTTATTTCATTATGTTGTATGTTTGTGACCAGATGCATAACAGTTTTCAAGCAAATTAAAAGATGAATTAACTTGTCATGAATTAGTGTCATAAAAGTTGCAAAAGTGTCTTAATATCTCAAGTTTCTCATGGATCCTTAGGTTTCTGATGCCATGCCTTTTGGTACACTATTTGGCTACTGGCTTCATAGCGTTCACATGTGTTGTCTCCCTTAATGAAGATGAAGACATGTATTGAAGTTCATTGCGGCTGTACCAAGTGCACAACACTCCCATATATAGTACCATCTCTGAGAGAGGTAAGTCCTAGATGGCTTATCCCCATTTTGGAGAGGCGAATTCCTGGACTTAAACCATTATGTATTGCTTTTGGTTAATGAGTATTTATCATTGCTTTAGATCCAACGAAGTTTCTAACATGCACACAAAATGAAAATTGCTTATTGGGTTGTCAAGTATGCCCTTCGTGATGAGGACAATTTTGATGGCCATGCTTGAAAGTAACCCGGAGGAAAGCCTTCCCCTTTAGAGACCAATTTCAAGATCCAAAATGTACAAATAGTTCTATCCTCGATAGAAATGAAACTTCTTTATGCATTCATTANATGATGAGGACAATTTTGATGGCCATGCTTGAAAGTAACCCGGAGGAAAGCCTTCCCCTTTAGAGACCAATTTCAAGATCTAAAATGTACAAATAGTTCTATCCTCGATAGAAATGAAACTTCTTTATGCATTCATTATGTTGAAATCTGATCAAATTTTTGATTAAATACTGAAAAACTCAAAATTATCCATTTCACTGATTCTTTTATAACGTTAGACTTTTGGTAAAAGAATGTTTTTTATTCTTTATATTGTGATTAGTTGTGGTTTTCTTTTTCTAATCTATGTTAGCAGTTGTTGGTCTCTTTTATTTTGCTTCATGTATGTACTTTAACTAGTTATAGGATCACGAAACACATATGGGGTGGTGGCGCAGTTGGCTAGCGCGTAGGTCTCATAGCTTCTGTGTTATCCTGAGGTCGAGAGTTCGAGCCTCTCTCACCCCAGTGGTTGATTAATTTTTTGACGTTACCTTCTGCTACTATCTAGCATCAAGCCCTGCAGCATTGCATGTTGAAAGAAACTATTCCAGAGGTTTGCAAATGGGGTAGAGACAAAATCTTTCCGGAAAGTAAAAATTTTATTTTGAAAAAAAAAAATTATTATATTATTGTGTACAAAATACTTGATCTAAGAAATAAAATACTCTTACAAATCTCGAGAGTAGGTAATTTTGTCTCACATTATGAAGAAAATATTGAGTATAACAGTTACATCATGTCAGTAATGTCACTTAGTATAATCATGTATAAGAAAAAGAACAAGCAAACAAGTGGACAAGTAAGTCTTACAAAATTTAATAACCACTATTTCTGTAATATATATTCATCTCCATGTAACATTACTCAAAAAAAAAAAAAAAAAAGGTATACTTTATTTATTTTTTAATCTTTGTATTAAACGGTTATACTATGTGACATTGTTGACGTAGTGCAATTATGATATTGAATGTTTACTGGACTTTATGAGAGGATAAATTAAAACAATTGCCTATTCAAAAATAATACAATACGGGAAATCACACTTTGCACGCTAAAAAATTTAAGAATTTTTATTGTATATCTTTAAAGATTAATTTTTTTTATATTGTACCCTCAATGTATTATAAATATTACAATATGACCATTCTATTAAATTTTTTGCTTATTTTGTTAAAAGTCACCTCATTGACGTTGACAAAATAAATAACGAAAACTAACAAAATGGTCACATTGTAATAATTTTAATTCTTTGAGGGTATAATATAAAAAAAAAATCTTTGAGGATGTAATGTGTTATCTTTAAGGGTACAATGTAAATTTTTTTAAATCTTTTGAGGTGTAAAATATAATTCGCTTTAATACTAAGCAAAGTAGTAACAATGAATTATTCACATTCTGAGAGCATAAGTAAACAGAGTAAGAAAATTTTTCTGCCTAAATACTGGCTTACTCTTTGATCTTTGTTGTTGACGTGGGGTATGACACACTATCATGTCCTTTAGAAGGTCAATCTCCTCCCCTCCCCCTAATAAGAAGCTTTTGACCCATTCCATGTACTTTTAAAAAAAAAAGTCTCAAATAAAAATGATTTTGAAAGTAATTCTTAAATACAGGCACTTTTTTAAAATGTTAAACGAATTGACATTTTTAGGATAAAAACGTCAAATGGATTGACGTCGTTAGCAGTCTATTTGACGTTTTTTAACTCAATATTATAGTTTAGCCCTCCTATTTAGCTCACCACTAAAAACAACATTTGATTTGACATTTTTTATAAAAACGTCATTCGATTTAACGTCTTTATAAGAGACGTCAAACGAAATGACGCATTGGATTCCTCCTATTACACCAACAAAAGAGCAAGCCAGATCAAGCCCACCAACAAAAAAATCAAGCCATACCAACAAAAAATCAAGCCACTCAACTTATAAAGGACATATGTAATAAATAAAATAATACATATATAATAATCAAACTAATTAATTATTTTATGTTGTACCACCTCCACATAAAATAATGTTAAATGTTTATTTAATAAATAAAAAAATTAATAAATTTTTTTTTATATTTTAAAAATGCATAAATATCTTTTTGTCCTACCGACATTTTTTTTCCTAATAATACCTAAAATATTTTGCTCCCTCTTTTTTTTGAGAGGATGAGTAATTAAATTTTTATTTATTAAAAATTTAATTACATTCANAAAAAAAAAAAAAAAAAAGTCCTGTATATGCCTCCCCATTTTTTTAAATATTGAGAGACACCCACAAGATATGAAAATAGAATGAATGAACACCAAGGGAATGCTCTGTTTGGGCATCACGTGGTAGGATTGAAATGAATTAGTCTAATAATAACTAAATATCTTGTTTAGATCGTGTNACATATCAAACTTCACCGACAAGACCAAGCGCACCAAATATGTAATGCTTGAATAAATTAATCTATGTTTGGATAATTATCATAATTGCCCTTAAATTTTATCTTGAGTTTTAANGTCACAGGTGTCGATCTTCTACTCTTTGGAATTGTAACTAATACCTTAAAAATTATAACTTGATCTTAAATCATTGTAAATTTGGTANATCCTTAGTGATAGGTTTTGTGTCTTTTTTTCTGAGTAAAATGTTAAATGTTTTTTTTTAAATAATTAATTAATAAATAAATTTTTATATTTTAAAAATACATAAATTTTGTTTATGTTANATTTGGTACGATATATTTTCTGTTACCGTAGTCTTTCTCTATCTCTATACATTTATCTAATGTCATTGTGCACCTTACCCATTGAGACGTTGGGGTTGTGTCCTTAGGCTAGCAATTCAACGTGTCAACAGTTTCAAATTTAAAAGTTTACAAGAATCAAATTTGAAAGGAATAGGGTACATCTCGCANAATAATTTAAAAATACATAAACTTCTTTTATCCTACTGACATTTTTCTCCCTAACAATAATACCTAAAAAAATTTTGCTCCCTCTCTTTGTGAGAGGATGAGTTTATTTTTATTTAATTAAAAATTGAATTACATTCAATAAATAAAANTCTTAGGGTCGGATGATTAGGTATGTCTAACAGAGCAAGTAAATTAATCCAATCTATTTAATCACTTCCAGTACTAAGTTAGCATAACAAAAGCCAATTATCGTGCCTACTCCATAACATACCTCTCTCTCTCTCTCTCTCTCTCAAAAACAAATANCTAAATTTAAGGTCTCATACAAACTGTAAGTGTTACACCCAATAATTTCTCCTCTAGAAGTATACGTTCTGANGACAGGAAATGATGTGGCTGGAGGGCAGAGCCGAGCCCAACTCCCATTTTCATTATGGTCAAAAGCTCAACAACGTGGGATGGGTCAAAAGCTCCAATATATTATGGACAAAGTGCATTTGGATCCATACAGTGCTACTGCAGAGCATGACATTACAATGACAGTAGCTTCAGNAAGAACGTATAAATGTAAAAATAAGATGTCAGCAACGTGGTTGATATTCAAAACAACATAAAGGATTATCGAGTACACATAAACATGATNCAGAGCATGACATTACAATGACAGTAG